CATGTTCATGAGACGGCTATCAACCGGTGGGTGGATGCTTTGACAGGAGAAGGAACTGCACATCTACAGCTGTTTTGTGATGCCAGTCAGAAAGCTTATGCAGCCTGCGTTTATTTGAGATATGTTGGGCAGAAAAAAGACGTCGCTACGGCCCTTCTCATGGCTAAATGAAAAGTTGCACCTTTACAGACAGTTAAGCTACCCAGACTTGAACTCCTTGGTGCGGTGCTTGCAACTAGACTGGCGACGTTACTTATTGAAACCCTCAAGTCATTTTAACAGAATATAAACGTGACTCACATAAAAAACAGCGCCTATAACGAGGGACAAGAGAAAGAAGGAGACAGGCAGCGGCACTGACTTACAACAAGATTTTTTTGCCAGAACTGCACAATATATGCTCGGGCAGTATCTGACAAAAAAGAGAAAAATAAAAAACACAGAAAACAGAACCAACCTAACAACAACGTAATCATCGCCACAACGCCCCATGAACAACAGGTGTGCTAACGTTCTGAAGGAAATCTATTTCTTTTTGGGATAGCGCAATCGAAGGCCTCCTGACACATGCACTGCCCAGCCTTTCTATCTCTGCAGCCTCATAAATTTCACGTATCATCTGGTCCCGATCACGCCTAATGATTGTACAAAGCTGAAAGTCGGGGACACAACCGCAGTCTCGGCAATGAATGCCGAGGTGGCCCGAAACTGTAGAGGAGACTTTGTGAGCGTGCTCTTTCAGCCGCTAATTTAAACGCCTGCCTGTTTACTGTGCTACGGGAGTGGCGGTGGTCAGCGCGCCAGTGATACATGAGAACAATAGACATCTCTTAACAGTGTATGTGTGCTGTGGCGTAGTCGCCTTAGACTTTTCGAGGATGACATAAAGGGGGCTTCTGCCACGCTGCCACCCTGAGAATAGTGTAGCTCGGATGAAACCACTAACCAGGCTGCCTTACCGGGTTTCACCAGCAATGAGAGGTTCCTTGTAGGGCATTTTCGCATAGGTTGCTCCTTCCCTGCGACCCAGAGTCATCGGCGTGGCAGAGCCTCGTCTTCTAGTGCACTGCGTGCAAGGAAGGTGAAACCACCGAGCACGTGCAATGTGTTTTTCTGCGCTTCACGCAAAAACAGCCATCTTACTTGACGCGCTCTATCGTTAGGGTCTACCTGCAGCTATACTCATGGCCCTCTTCTCTACACGACACCACACGTATGTCTTCAAGGTAGTTTTTCAGTTTTTTTTAACACTGAACTGGAAAACCGGTTACACTAACCGCCAACTGCATCCCCAGTCATCTATGCCATTTCTCAATTTTTCTTTTCTCGACATTATTTTATTACCCTCTCCCCATTGCCCCTGCAAACGCTCATCCAGGCTCCGAATTCCGGCAGCAGAGCTGCGTGTTTTTCTTTCCACGACTTCTCCTAATCTTCCTCAATGACGGACAGAGGTGAGCTTGCGCTGAGCAGCTGCTGACAGGCAGTCGTGACTGAGTCTTGCAATAATTCAGCGTTTTTTTTTTAATGTCCCAACCTTGTCTCTGAGGGGTTCTGCGTGGCAGCAGCCCCAGACAACTACGATGAAACTACAAGCAGTCTTCAAACATAAAAATTGCGCCCCACCTTGCGCCTATAGAATGCACATGCACTCTACCATCTGAACATTCATTTGTCAGCGTATTGACGAATGCTAGTATCGACAAACTTGGGGCATGCGATGCATTGTGATAATGTGGAGAACTCGAGAATGGCCACATTTATATTTTATTGTGAAGCTCATTAGGACGAAGTTACTGCTTCTCCTGTACGTAGTAGCTACCTTTCGTTTTCATTCTTGGAATGTTTGCTGCGTGGTGGTACTTGTATATGTGAATATATAATGAAAAGGTGCGCGATGACGGTACTTAGAGTGACGGCACTAGATGAACGAACGGACATACAGACAGACAGGCGGACAGATGAATGGACGGACGGACAGATGGACAGACTGACGAACGCGGCCAGAGGATGATTCACGGTTTACCGATGAAACCCTCCGAAGCCTCACCCCACTCACAATCAATCACGCCATGGATATGCTGTAATTTTTTAGCTGCACAAGAAAAATCAAATAGATCGAAGTTGAAGGGGTTTACTTTGACCTGCATGACAGCCTAAAGTTAATCTGCTTGCGTTATGTCTGGGCAAGGATATGCTTATGCTATTAGCACACGTTGGAAGGGCCGTTGATGGGTTACCAGGCCACCTATGTATTTATACCCTCATGAGAGAACATGTAGGCCGGTTGTGGCGTTTTTCAGTAAATGGTTTTGACGCCCGTTTCGGTGCGTATGGTAGGGAGTTTAATTTTTTCGTCATGCGTTCTTGTGTGCATAAGTCTTGTGTGTGGGTACATATGTTGTTGTGCATTGTCCTTTCTATCTCCACATTATATAGTTGAAACGTTTGTACTTGAAACGCTATCAATGAACCACTAGCAGTTTTTTTTTTCGTTTTCTGGCACGTGCGCTAACGCAAGCACGTATGAGGCCGTCTAGATTTAAAAACAAAACCTCTAGGAGTGCTCAAATTGAGTTGCTGCAAAAATCCACCACACTTGCATCTCTCGCGTCAGCTTCAATGTTGCGTGGGGACAATGATGGAAACAATTACATGATTTTTCTTCAACAGATGAAGAGGGGAAGTACACTTCAGTACCCCTTATCTATTAGTTTCCTTGTATTATAGGAACAGAGAAACTAATACAGGGTAACACTTTCTGTGCGGCGAGAGAAAGTACGCGTCAACTTTGCAAACAAGCCTTCTGCACCGTAAATTTAAAAAAAAGCAAACTGTTTTTATCAAAAAATCTCACCTAGCAAAGCCTCATTACTACAATCTAAGTCGAATACGAGGAGTGTTGTGAGTGAATAAGTGTAATAATGCAGGCTGACTGCTGGAAAGATTTGGAATGGATGGCTCACGCTTCAATAGTCACTGCTCTCTTTTTCTATGCAGCCCACAAAACCAAGCTCCTTTAAAAGGGGGTTTCACGTAGCACCTCCAGAAGGCATGCCACAATCTGTGCGATAAACTCCCTAAAAGGTTGAAAGCCATTTTGTGTTTGCTTAAACACTTGCTTACTAAAGAAAGTGGCATCTCTGCACGGAAAGTGCTATCAACAGCGGTTAGGGATTTTCCATGCCATATTACTGTAAAACATTTTACGCTGTGTGACAGTTGACCTTTTTCTCTTTAGAAAATGAAGAAATGGCTGATTTCAAGTACAGTGGGAATCAATGATATGCGAAGCATGATTGAGAAATGTTAATATGTCACTCTAAAATCAGAACAACGTTACGAGGTGGAGGTATATGATGCTGTACATGATTTCTCTGTCATGATCATCATGTTTCGATGTGTCACTTACCTTCACCATCAATTCACGTCACGTGATACCAAATTTAGTATATGTGGAGCTAGACAAACGGTCGCTACCATGCTATGAGCGTGGTATGTTTCCATGTTCTTTCATGTCACGCGTGTCAGTATAATTATCTTTCATCATTCATTAACGCAACGTAACATCAAATTTGGTATATGTAGAGCTTGCGAAACGGCCACGAGCAACTCACGAAGCGCCCAAAATACTCTAATGTAGCGTTGACGTGCACGCACGCTGGGCATAGCGATGCTACATCAACAAAACGAGAGCCGAAATAGTCTGACGCCAGGCACGACTAGCATCCATCGGTGCGGCCCGACGGCAACCAGCGCGAATTGCGACATGCTGCTTTCGCGCCAATGCGTTAACCAGACAGCCCTGCGTCTCCCTCTTTTCGTGACGGAGGCACGCCGTACGCGCTGAAAAGCGCATGCGTCAAAACAACGCAGTGCGGCGTGCGCTTGCGAGTATATGGCAGGACCGACGCCTGGCGGGGCAACGCTGGCGTGACGCGACGAATGGAACGCCGGCGAGCACACGCACCGCGTCACATCAAAATATATTGGCGCCTTGACTGTGGCATGTAGTCTTGTCCTCACATGACACGCATCTGATGATTATCATTTCACCAGTCACATACATTCATCATCTATTGGCGTCACGTATTACCTAGTTTGGCATATGTGAGCGCACCATCAGTGTGGCATCTATTTGTATTGTTACATGACACTTATGCCGTGATTATCATGTTTCGATGTGTCATTTACCTATGCCGTTCATTCGAGTCTCAAAATACCGAGTTTGATGCATGTGAAGCTAGCGAAACGGCCACAAACGCATCGTGAGCGTAGCATGTAGTCATGTTGTTACATGACACGCATCTCATGTTTATCATGTTTGCATCAGTACGATACCATCGTCATTCATTCACGTCCCGTAATACCAAATTTAGTAAGGTGAAGCTAGCGAAACGACCACCAGCAAATAATTAGCGTGGCATGTTGTCATGTTTTAACATGACACGCATCTCATGATTATCATATTTCCACCAGTCACACATATTCGTCATTCATTCACGTACTCTACCATGAAATTTGGTATATGTGTCGCTAGCGAAACAGCCGCGAACGCATCAAGAGCATGGCATGTAGTCATGTTGCTATATCAGACGCATGTCATGATTTTCATGTCAGGGTGTGTCGCTTGTGTTGTCATGCCATACCATACCAACTTTGCAACATGCCAAGTGAATGAAACTACCGCAAGAGCTGCAGGACCGTGGTATGTAAACCATGACACACATATGATTTTTATGTTATGACGAGTCAAATGTATTCTTCATGCAGTCATGCTAGGCCATACCAACTTGGTATCGATAACATTATTGAAACAACCGGAAGAGCTAATTGTCGTAGGTGGCTAGATAAATAAATAGATAGATAGATAGATAGATAGAATAATAGATAGATAGATAGATAGATAGATAGATAGATAGATACGTTCAAAGTCGCCGAAGTTCGTTAATAATTGCTTCGCATTTTAAAAAGAAGGTGCGAGATACATTTGAGCTCACTTTTACGGAAAGCGCAACGCTTGCTTGCTGTGTTTCTATTCTGGAAGGTATCTTCTCTACAGAATGACTTGAGAAATTTGGCTGTTAACATATATACACAGACATCAAGCCCGCCGATTAAAATTGAATAACCAGCACTGCATATTTCGGTATAAATGTAATTGGTAACCTTTTGAAGAGAGGCTCTCTTCAATTCAATTGTCAGTTACTCAGCTACAAACTTTCACAGCTGAAAATGAAGGTAACCGGTCAAGACGAATAGTGTCATTGACATTCGTCAATACGACTAGCATAGGGATGACACCAAACACTATGTCAGAGCTGTGCTAATCCATCTTACAAGTAAATTAACAGCCTAGAACAAAGGAAATTCTTCATGAAACATTCAGTGTTCTAAGAACACTGCAGATCCTGTCAAGGAACTTTCGTGCTTGCGTCTGTTCCTCTATGGCGGTGTGAGCGTCTCTCTGGGGAAGTGGATGCAGACAGCACAAATATCCCCAGTTATAGGTTCAATGTTATCCGGACGTTACAGTTATTATTTGCTGTGCTTATAAAGTTAGGCACTCGTGGTCACCACCAAGCACACCCGGCAGGTGTTCTGCTCTTATGCGACGGAAGCAAAAGCACATCATTTTAGAGGCAAAGTTCCTTATAGCGGCACCCGTTCGTCTCTCGTAGTCGTAGTTGTTGTGTGTAACAAGTGTTACATTTTGACCTCCAAGGTGGTGCCGGTGGGAAATTTCTCCTGTGCGTTGTTGAACAATACAAAAATTCGCAGCGTGCGCGTTGGCTAAAAGCCGAATGAACCTGTCTCTCATTCCCCATTAGCAGCCATTGGTATGTACATTGAGCACTATTTGACAAGAACGGGTTGTTACGTTATGATCGTTGGGTGTAACCTTCTTAGTCTTAGAAAGGTTTAGTGAGCGTTGAGCTGGAGTTCCATGAATACAACGAACTAGTATATACCATAAACTCGAGGTGGTTAAAGGTGGGAAGTAGACCCGAAGCGCAAGGCGTGAGAAAGTGTGCGTGTGCCACCTCTCGTTTAGTCTCTGGAATGTCCGCTGAATGGCTGTGCTTCTATATGGGGAATATATGATGAAAAGGTGCGAGATGGTGGTAATTGGAGTGTTGAATAGATGGACGAACGGACTCAAAGACAGATGCATGGATTGACGCATGAACGGACGCAGGGGTGGATGCATGGAGGAACGCAGCGACGGACGCACGAAGAGACGCACGCATGGACGGGCGGATGTACGCATGGACGGTCACACAGACGGACGCATGGACAGACGGAAGCAATAACGAATGAACGTACGAATGCTATGCCCCACTTACCATCATTCACTCCGTGAATATGATGCCATTTTTATTTATTTACTCTCTTGTGTAAACGTAACTTCAGGAAACACGTCTGAATAGCAAACCTTTACAAAATCCTGAGCGGTTTTCGCACGACTCGTAAGCAAAAATGTTTCATTTCAACGAACTTGTGAATAGTCTTTTTTCCGTTAATCACCTTAATAGTGGAGCATTGAGACTTCGGCATACTGGTGGACATATTGCCGCATTCAACCTGCAGAGGAGAGCTCGCACAGCCAGAGAAGAAGACGAAGCTCTTGCCCGGTCCTCTTTACGAGCGCCTTTGATTTTTAATTAAAGTGAGCTCTTCTATATCGAACTCCTGCTGTGTCTGCGTCGTGACAATATTAAAATATAACAGTGCAACAGACAAAGACTGACGAAAGTAACACGATGTTTTCCTACATTTGTCTGGCTTTTTGGGGGCGAAGCCCCTCATAGCGGCACCCATTCGTCCCGCGTCCCGTCGTAATATGTAACCAGTCTTATGCTTTGACCTGCAAGGTGGTGCCGGTGAGAAATTTTTGACCTCCAAGGTGGTTCCGGTGAGAGATTTCTTCTGTGCGTTGTTGAACAATAAGAGATAGTGCTCAATGCACATGTTAATGGCTGCTAAGGGGAAATGAGAGACAGCATCATTCGGCCTTTAGGTAACGCGCACGCTGCGATCCCCATTAGCAGCTATTGGCATGTACATTGAGCACAATCTGAAAAGAAAGGGTCGCTACGTTATACTCGCTGGGTGTAACCTGGGTGTAACCAATGGCACTTGCGATGTCACACGAGATTCGTAGTGACGTGGGTCTCCTCCGCCATCTTCAAAATGAGGCTGTTGTTACGAGTATGCTGGCGTCCCTTGCAAAGATACTGTGTGTATCCGTCAAGGACACTGGGTGCTTTCAGAGACACTCAATGCGTCTTTTACGGACAACGAAGGCGTCCATAAGAGACGCTGTGCGCGTCCTACAGCGGGGCTGCCTGTTCCTCCTTCAGCGTATTGTATAAACCTTGTAAATATAAGCGCTTTGTTTCCTTCTGGTTGCCTTTTGCCTTGCAACTGCCTGGATGCTACTGCAGCTGGCTATGGCAACTGTCAGCGCGCTTGTTTGGCTGACGCTTGTGAGGCACGTGTGTATGAGAGCAGACAAATTTCAGCATGATGTGCGTCCGAGCCTTGTGTGGTCTTGTGACCCAGTCACCTATGCATCGACGTCACTGCCCGACTCTGCGCCGCGCAAGCTAAACTGAAAATGGTCCGCGTAAGTGCAGCCATAATAAATTATTTAGCAAAATACATGAATCTGGGTGCGTGTATAACGCTTCTTGAAGCTGAAGGAAACGCTGACAGCAAAGATCACGCATGCGACAAATTTGGTGGCCCCACCCCTTTAATAATCGATTCTGAAACAAAGTTCCAGAATTGATTCATTGATTGATTGATTGATATGTGGAGTTTAACGTCCCGAAGTCACCATATGATTATGAGAGACGCCGTAGTGTAGGGTTCCGGAAATTTCGACCGCCTGGGGTTCTTTAACGTGCACCCAAATCTGAGCACACGAGCAAAGGTCCAGGGGTGTAGGGTCCTTTATTGCTGAGTTTGAGTGACTCGGTGATTTGTAAAGACTCGAGCTGCCTCGTCCGCATGCTGGTTCCCTGTCACACCCTTGCTCCCCTGTTCCCAAGTCACAATCTGTACGTAATTTACTGTGGGGTCCCTTCCTGTCTCAACCAATATACAGAGCGCCTGTGCTCCAATTTTGCTCTTTAAGTAGTTCGTGCAACATTTTGCGATTCTGTAATGATAGTTAATGCAGCGTTTTGCGTCCATCCCTCTTTTATTGCGGGTGCTATGGTGACCTCCTCTGCTTGTGTTGTCGAGGCCCGATCTACTAAAGCGCAGGCTCTAATTTTCCCTCTGCATTCGATGACTACACACATAGCTCTCTTTGCACTGGTCTCATCAGGCGTTGCGTCAGTGAATCTGGCCGTGTTCTAAAATCTTTTCATTTTGTCAATGCAGCCAGCCCTTGTTAATCTTTTCCTAGCATGCAGAGTAGAATCCCTGTTGCTTCGTATTGGCAATGCGGTGTACTATTCTCAGTTCGCTTGGTATCTCTTCAGTTTTTTGGTGTTTTAAATGCGCAGCATTTCTAAGCAAACTTCGGCGGCTTCGAGCTTATCTATCTATCTATCTATCTATCTATCTATCTATCTATCTATCTATCTATCTATCTATCTATCTATCTATCTATCTATCTATCTATCTATCTATTTGTTTACGACGTTCAGTTCGCCTGGCTGTTTAAATAATGGTATCGATACCAAACTTCATATGGCATAACATGACTGTATGACGAGCATATTTGAGTGGTCATAGCATGACAATCATAACACGTATGTCATGAATGTCATCACATGCATTTCATGATCTTGCTGCTTTTGCGTTGGTTTCGTTCACATGACATGTTGCAAAACTGGTATGGTATTACATGATTGCATGGTGAACACAAGCTACAAACATGCGGGTCATGTAACAACAAGACTACATACCACGATCATGATGCGCTCGCGGCCAGTTCGTTAGCGTAAATTTGATATTACGGTACGTGAATGAATGACGAAGTTATGCGACTGGTGCAAACATGATAATCATTAGATGCGTGTCATTTAACACCATGACTACATGCCACGCTCATGATGCACTAGCGGCTGTTTCGATGGCTTCACTTATACCAAATTTGTTATAGTGGGACGTCAATTGACGACAAAGCTATGAGACTCGTGCAAACATGATTATTGTGTTATGCGTGTCATGTAACAACATGACTGCAAGGCACGCTCATGATGCGCTTGCGGCCATTTTGTTAGCGTCAGTAATAAAAATTTGATATTACGGTACATGAATGGACGACATAGGTAAATGACACATCCAAACATGATAATCAAGACATACGCCATGATAATCACAACATGACTTCATGCCACTGACTGAGCAACATGACTACATGCCACACTCATGAGGCCATCGCGGCTGTTTCGCTAGCTTGAAATATGCAAATTTTGTATTACTTGACGTCAATGGCTGACGAAAGTGTTGACTGTTGCAAACATGGTAATCATCACGTGCGTGTCATGTGAAGACATGACTACAAGCCACAGTCAAGGCGTCTATACATTTTGACGTGACGCGCTGCGCGTGCTCACCGGTGTTCATTTCGCCGCGTCACGCCAGCGTTGGCACACCAGGCACCGACCCTGCCATATACTTGCAGGTGCGCGCTGCATTGCTTTGACGCATGCGCGTTTCATCGCATCCGGCGTAAGAGGGAGTTGCAGTGTTGTCTTGGTAAACCATCGGCGCAAAATGCAGTTTGTCCATTTTCGCGCTGGTTGCTAGCTGGCCGCGCTGAGAGACGCTGGTCGCGCCTGGCGTCACAGTTTAAAGTGTCAATGTTTTGCTACTGTAGCGTCACTGTGCCCAGCGTGCACGCGCGCCAACGCTACAGTGGAGTATATAGGGTCATTCATGATACACTCGCGGCTGTTGCACTAGTTCCCCCTATACCGAAATTCGGTGTAACGTGACGTCGTTGGATGACCAAATATACGACTGGTGCAAACATGATATCCCTGACACGCTTGTTACGTAAGGACATGACAGCATACCACGCTCATAGTGTGCTCGCGGCCATTCCGCTGGCTCCCCATATACTAAATTTGG